ACAGCAGGAGGACATTTTTAGTAGACATCCAGATTCCCACTAACTGAAAACATCAGCATACATCTTGGTTCATAATCATTTCAAAACATTTAACAGACATTCTAAGAGTGAGGACTCACGGCGCCCAGTCCTCTCTAAGTCAGAGAGTTCTCATTTGGGCAACAGGATGGATCTCACATTCAGATGATCTGTGAGGGCTCTATTTATCCCAGCACCGTTCAATTACAAGAATTGTAGGAGGCATAAGAGATGAGCATCAGGAGAGAAATTATGGCAAAGGCAGTTGAAATCCCTACAAAGGGGAAAAACTACAAGCTTCAGAAAGGCCAAGTGCCAGTCCACATTATACAATGGCATTTGCCAGAACAACAAGCAGATTACAGCCCTGCAATGTACCAATAGTCTGCAGGCTGTCACAATGAATGCAAACATATTTCTCGGGGGCTGAATAACAGGCTGAACAAATTTGTAACTATGTTCCAGAAAAAGAATAGCTCTGAAAACAGCATATATTTAGAAACTGCTACAATTTTATTCTACACAGTTCCAAGTGGACAAAATAATTTTAAAATGTGTAAGTTAATGAATACACTGCATACTAATGACAAACTACCCAAGACAGGCCTGGATCATGCACATGGCTAATTGAAGCAGCACCTACACACCATTTCCCAGGCTTAAGTGGGCTTGGGCTAAAAAGAATGCCCCAGTAGTTCTACAACCCCAGATAAGTAGTACCTCGGAGAAGTAAGCACTGGCAAAAATGAAACCACAAGATTATCAATAACCACTCCACGAATTTATATCATCAAAGCCAATGCTTACTTACCATACTTTTTAAATCTTATTTTCAGCTAGGTGTGTGGTTCACATCTGTAATTCCAGCACTTTGGTAGGCTAAGCTGAGAGGACTACCTGAGCCCAGGGGTTCGAGATCAGACTGGACAACTTGGCAAGACCTCATCTCTACAAGAAATCAAAAAATTAGCCGGACATGATGGCGTATGTCTGTAGTTCCAGCTACTTGGAAGGTTGAGGCAGAAGGATCACCTGAGCACAGCAGGTTGAGGCTGCAGTGGCCATGAGTATACCACTGCACTCCAGCCTGGGTGAGACAAAGTGAGACTCTGGCTCAAAAAAACAAACAAACATATAAGCAGAGAACACTTTACTTGATCCAGTAAAGTACCTGGCCTATTACACTGTTATGTATTCAACAGAATACTACTTCACATAAGAGAAGCAATATCTCAAAAGGCCTCCACGTAATTCAACATATAAATGAAAGGAATTAACACTAGGTTAATGCCACATAATTTATGTTTTCTATAAAGTGGTCATATAGGTCATATATGGTAATTTCAACATTACAAAAACTGTCTTTGAAAACTAAATTCCAAGAATGCAAATAAGCAAAAGCTAGGTCTTCTAATTTGGAAAAAACCAAAATCTTCAAGTATTAATTAACAGGAAAAACACCAGATATGTTTATCACCATCATTACAAAATAATATTATTAGCATGGACTTAGTTGCTTAGGCTAAACATTTTTAAATTTTAAAGAAACCAGAAAACTGGAGTCAAACTTAAGTTGACATCAAGAGAAGAATCACGGTGAGGCTCGGTGGCTCAGCCTGTAATCCCAGCACTTTGGGAGGCCAAGGCGAGTGGATTGCCTGAGCCCACATGTTTGAGACCCACCTGGGCAACGTGGCGATACCTTGTCTCTACAATAAATCCAAAACTAGCTGGGTGTGGTCGCGTATGCCTGTAGTTCTGGCTACTTGGAAGGCTGAGGCGGAAGGATCGCCAGAGCCCAGCAGGTCAAGGCTGTGGTGGCCGGGAGCGGCCACTGCACTCCAGTCTGGGTGATGGAGCGAGACTCCAACTCAAAAAAAAAAAAGAGAGAGAGAGAGAGAGAGAGATAGAGAGAGAGAGAGAGAGAGAGAGAGAGAGAGAGAGTGAGAGAGAGAGAGAGAGAAGAATCAGAGGACCTTCAAGCAACAAGATGGCATTTTCCTTCTGTTGGCATCGCTAATTAATTACAGATGCTGGCAAATGAGTGTGAGGACTCCAAAGCCTGCTGTGAAACCAGAGATAAGAACTTCCTTATATCCTAATCAGACGTCAGCAAAATGTAGATGGATGTGAACCCAGCAAGTATTCGTGAAGTCAGACAAAGATAAGAAGGATGCAGAAACAAGTAATTTTTGTTTGTTTTCGGGGGGGGGGGGGGGCTGTTAACTAACAAGAACATTATATTATTTTCCCAGAAAAGAAATTTTGCTTAGCTGTTTCCTTAACACTATAAAACAAAACAAGTAAGTATGGGTATACTGGGCATGGTAGCTCACACCTGTAATCCTAGCACTTGGGGAGGTCAAGGCGAGAGAATCGCTTGAGCCCAAGAGTTTGAAACCAGACTAAGCAAAATAGCAACATCTTGCCTCCACAAAAAAAAAAAAAAAAAAAATTAATAAATATAACAAAAAGTAAACTAGGTATCTGTAGCCCCAGCTACTCAGGAGGCTGAGGTAGGAGTATGACCTGAGCCCAGGAGGTCAAGGCTATGGTAAGCCACAATGGTGACACTATACTCCAGCCTAGACAACATAGTAAGACCCTAATACAGATAAACAAAACAAATGAACAAGCACAAAAAAAGTAGGGGTAATATTTCAAAAACACACACACATACCCCTTTCAATATGGTAGAATCCAAATGACCTAGACCAGGGGTCCTCAAACTTTTAAAACAGGGGGCCGGTTCACTATCCCTAAGACTGTTGGAGGGGCAGACTATAGTTTAAAAAAAAAACTATGAACAAATTCCTATGCACACTGCACATATCTTATTTTGGAGTGAAAAAACAAAACGGGAACAAATACAATATTTAAAATCAAGAACAAGTAAAGTTAAATCAACAAACTTGCCAGTATTTCAATGGGAACTATGGGCCTGCTGTTGGCTAATGAGATGGTCAATGTCCGGTTCCATATTTGTCACTGCTAGTCGTAACAAGTTAAGGTGGCAAAAACACCCGGTGGTCCAGATAAATGTCCTCGGCGGGCCGTATGTGGCCCGTGGGCCGTAGTTTGAGGACCCCTGACCTAGACAATTCTAAATAGAAATATTTGCTTCTGAAATATAACTCCTTTAAAAAAATTTTCGTTACTTTTATTTGATTTAGCTACTCTTAGGATTTGTTTACATATTTGTGAGAATTAAGAATGGTAATGTATTTTCAAATTGGAGCCTAGCTTGTCTTGGGTTCTCAAGATGGTGTCTAAATGCTTTGGGCTTCCCTTTTGTTGAATCACATGCTGCTTCTTTGTGCTTCCTTTTCATGGGCTTTTTACTTTGGCGAGCTTCATGTTTAAACTTTTGGTGGGATCCAATCAGAATGACTCTGTAAGTCAACTGGCAAATAGGACATGCAAATGAAATTATTCTGTAAGCCAATCAAAATGTGTTACGTAGACATCCTACAGGAAAGCCTGTAGCTTCTGCAGTATTCCTCCAATGAGGAACCAGGAGGGGGACCTATGTCTTAGGGGTAAAAGTGCTGGTTCTTCCTGCTTCCATGTGCCTGCCCACCAGATGCTTGATCTTGGAAAACAGTCATTAAAGTCTCGCTTATGCTGCACTCCATATCTCTTTGTCCATCTTTTGATTTTGGACAGGTGATTTAGTTTCTCACAATACTAAAAAGTATACAAACTTACACTAAACACCAGATACTCTGCTACCATTGGGGATACAAAGATAAACAAGAACCATCTCAATTCTATGAAAGCTTGTGGGCATCAAGTAGGTACAGCCTAGACAGTGATGACCCATCATACCTCTCCATGCACAAACACACACAGGAAAATCACGTATCGATGATGTTGATATAAACCAATTCTGTGGCATGAGCTTTAAACTAGTAGAATGGATCTATCAATGATTTTATGAGGATTACATCTAGAAATTTCCATCTTCACAAATCAAAGCCATTGAGCCAGCCGGGCTCGGTGGCTCAGCCTGTAATCCCGTGCCTTTGGGAGGCTGAGGTGAGTGGACTGCCTGAGCCCACGGGTTCGAAACCTGCCTGGGCAGCGAGACCTCATCTCTACAATAAGTCAAAAAATCAGCCGGGCATGGTAGCACGTGCCTGTAATTCCAGCTACTTGGAAAGCTGAGGCAGAAAGATCACCGGAGCCCAGCAGGCTAGGCTGCGGTGGCCAGGAGCAGCCACTGCCACTCCAGTCTGGGCGACTGAGTGAGACTCCAACTCAAAAAAAAAAAAAAAAGCCACTGAGCCTAAAGCAAAGGAGAAAGTATTTTTGCCTGATATTTAACTTATTGAAAAAATTTTTAAAAATTATTATAATCTTCTTTTTAAAATTTTCAATAGCAAATGAACCAATTCTCTTCTAAAACAAGTCCTCTTGGTGGCTACCTTTTGTCACTGGCCAGTTCCCTATAAAATGGGGAAAAGGAGGGAACAGGGAAAAGCATAGGTGATAGTAATAAAAAGAAACACTCCATTCTCACCTCAGTCAGAACACTGCTCTGCTTCTAAGTGCACTAAGCAGCCAAGTGAGGCACTAGCATCAGGAGCATTTTGCATTTAAAAAAAAAAAAAAGGCATGTCTAACAGCCCACACATAAGCACTCACATGTGAACACCACAAGTGACATTAACGGCTGTCACCTCCTCCATAAACCAGGTGATTCCAACGCCACCAACCCCCATTCCAGCATCTAGTGCCTTTCATGTGAGACACTGGGAATCAGTGTCTATGTGTTCACTCTAAGTTCATTAAGAAAGACACGGGAACTGATAAAATGTTTCCAGGAGGGTCACAAACAGCTAAAAAAAAAAAAATCAGGGCAATATTTACACTTGTCCTTTTGGGTATGAAAAGGCAAGGAAGGCAAAAGCATGTGACAGACACATTCATGTTTAAGACTAGCAAGAGCTATGATGGAGGAGGAAGGGAAGAAACAGTACCCGGCTGTTTCCGTGGCAACCACAAAGCATGCTAGGCCATAATTTGCATGGAAGGTGGAAGTGATATCCCTGCAATCTGATCTCTAAGGATACAGAAAAAGGAAATGGCCACAGCAGTAATAAAATTGCCTCCAATGAAGTTCTAGCCATTTTCCTAGATATAAATGCGGCAGAAGCCTGTGTGTCTACCAGGAGCCATGAGCAAATGATGGGGGTGTTCTACCAATCTTGAAATCTGCATAGGATGCATACATTCCAAGACAGGTCCCACGTTTTCCATTGTTTCCCTTATAATATGACCCAGGTGCATTGACCTCTTAGGACAGAGATGTGGCTTACCTGGAAGAGCTGAATATCTATGAAAAGCTCTCTAGACACAGTCCCCAAGGAACTTGTTAGGGAAGGAGGACTTCAGTTTCACTAAGGAAAATGCTTAGCACACAATTCCAGAACGGTAAGCATAAACAGTAAGTTTAAAGATAAATTGGATATGGCCACAAAGAGTTGCTATGAAGATGCCCCCTGCTTTATATTACTACAAAGTGCTACTCCAACTACATCGAGATACCAATGCACCCTAAGTTACTCAGGTCAGATATGCAGTGCTTTTAACATACACACACTTAAAAATGGAAATTTCACAATAACTTTAAATCTCATCACAGTATGAGCCAATGTGAATTTATGCAACAAATAAGCATTCTGATTGAAACCATAAAACAACAGTGATAAGCCGGGCTTGTTGACTCAGCCTGTAATCCCACACTTTGGGAGGCTGAGTTGAGTGAATTGCCTGAGCCCGCGGGTTCGAGACCCGCCTGCACAACTTGGCGAGACCTCATCTCCACAATAAATCAAAAATTAGCCAGGCCTGGTAGCGCGCACCTGTAGATCCAGCTACTTGGAAGGCTGAGACGGAAGGATCGCCAGAGCCCAGCAGGTCAAGGCTGCAGTGGCTGGGAGCGTGCCACTGCATTCCAGTCTGGGCGACAGAGCGAGACTCCAACTCAAAAAAAAAACAACAATGATAACTTTCACACAATACACTCCCAACTCCCTTTTAATTAGCCAAGAACTTGTATGTTTAAATCACATCTTCCTTTAGGATTAAAAAAAAAATAAGAACAAGCAAGCAACATTGGGGTTTGTTTCTTCGTTGTCTAAGGTAAAGACAGGAATCCCTCTTGTAACTCATCTGCTCGCTACTAGAATTGAAGGAAGCGAATGTTGGCATTGCACATTCATTCAACAAATATTGATTGAGTGCCTCTCAGCACACTGTGGCTTAGACTGATTTGGGGACCGATGCTAAAGCCTATCAGCCTCCTACCTAGTGTGGAGATAGGCTATTTTGTTTAATTCTAAAAGCAAAGTGGGTTGTTGGTTATCTCAAGTCTGCCTAGTTGGGCTTGTCCAAGGTGAAGCCCACCCAACAAATACAGGTATTCTTTCAAATATTAACTAACCACTTTGCCTGAAGTTCACTACATTGGTAAAGAACAGTTAGTGACTACACCCTGTCTTCTCCTGGCCTTTTTCTGGGAGCAGTCAAAAAGAATGTACCTCAAACACCAACATCTTCCAGAAGCATGCTGTCCTAGAAGCACAAAGAAAGCTTCACTTGTCAAACCTCGGTCCTCTGTCTAAGAATTACCAAAAGACACCACCTCACAAACCCTGGCCCATCCCACTTGGCAAGTCTCAAGCAGCTATTACATCCTCCGTGGCCAACAGCCCAGCACTCAAGAGACTACTCGTGTTATTAGCACAACTCTACTGCACCCGACTACATGGCTTCTCGAGCCCCAGATACCAAGCCTGTCTCTCTGCATTATAACATTGAAAATCCCATAGCTAGCAGCTCACATCAATTTGTCAGAATGTCAAAGAGGACACTTACCCAGGCGAGCACAGAGAATAAAAGGGCTCTCCTCTTTCACTCTTACTACCCCTCCCCACATGTGTGATCCTACTGAAGATGCTGTAACTTTCCTAGGTATTTCCCCAGTCACTTGGCCTGTGTCCCACAGATTTCAATTAACTTTCTTCTGCTGCACTCTTTTTACTGTGTCTTAGTCTCTTTTATGCATCTATAACAGAATACTTGAGACTGACAATATGTAAAGAATAGAGATGTATTTCTCACAGTTCTAGAGGCTGGGAAGTCTAAGACTTAGGAACAGGTATCTGGTGAGGGACTACTTGCCATGCCGTAAGTTGGTAAAAGCCATCCCATAAAAAGGCAGAGACAAAGGGGAGCCAAGCTTGTCTTTTTTTTTTTTTTAGTTGAAGTCTCACTGTGTCACCCAGGCTGGAGTGCATGGCACACTCATGTCCACCCCAGCGTCCACCTGCTGGGCTCAGGCGATCCTTCTGCCTCAGCCTTCCAAGTAGCCAGAACTATAGGTGCGTGCTACCATGCCTGGCTAATTTTTTATTTATTGTAGAGACAAGGTCTCGTCAAGTTGCCCACACTGGTCTTGAACCTGCAGGCTCAGGCAATACACTTAGCTCGGATTCCAAAAGTGTTGAGATTACAGGCTGAGCCACCGAGCCAGGCCCCAGCTTGCTTTTTAATAAGGAAGCCACTCCTGCATCTTGAGTAGCACTAATCCACTCAAGAGGGTAGAGCCTTCATGATCTAAACACCTCTAAAAGTTCCCATCTCCCAATAACCCCAACATCAGAGATCAAGATTCTAACACATGAACTCTGGGGGAACACATTCAAAACACAACACGCTGCAATGGAAATTATTTGCTTCTCTGTTCTCCCTGGAATGCAGATTTCATGTTGCTCAGATAGGCTTAATTGATCAACTTTAGCTCCATCTCAGGACCTGACAAACTATTAGCACGTATTCTAATTAGTAAATTAGCAATCCTGGATACCTGTTCCTTGGAGGTCACACTGCTCTGAAGGTTAAACTGTCCAGACAGCAGAATTCTCAGGCCACGCACAAAATTTTGAAAACACAATCTTTGTTTAGCTTCATCATCAGTACAAGATGATGGCTCTACACTGACTAACTTAAGTTGAGTAAAAATCATGTACTGAGTCTTTACACCAAGAGCTTTATCTCCTAGGCAAAGGATGGTCTTCTGTCTCTCTTTTTTCTCATCTATAAAATGGGGATCATAATAACATAACCTATTTCAACAGGTATGCTATGAGAATTAAATGGTCTAATCCATGTAAAGATTTTAGAACAGTGGACACCAAACTGTTAAGTGCTGTGCGCATGTTTGCTGTTATTAATATCAATATAACCACCTTGCAAAAGTCTCTTTTCCCCTACTTTCTAATAGAAGATCTAATTATAAGATTGTGATAGAAAAGCAGGTTCCACCTTAAGCTATCAAATCCTGAGTATCACTGAGGGACAAGTCCTTACAGTGTCACTTCCAAAATAAAACAGGGCAAGAAGGGCTTAAAGATAAGGAGGCAGGCAGAAAGTCAATACATGGGACCAAGAATCACTCTGAGTTTAGGGGTGTGGGCTCAGAAGTCTAAGCAGCAAGTCCTGGCCACACTGCCCAGAAAAGGAGGAGAGGAGGGCTGACCAAAAGGGAAAGGCTCTCCAAAGAGAGTAAATGCCTTGAGAAAACAAATAAGGGTACTCCATGCAAGGACAGGGAAACTGCAAAGGGACAGCTGGACCACAAAGTGCAATCAGTTCCAAGAGCCCTGAACACTACCCACCAAACTGTAAGTAGAGAGTAGGAATACCTATGTTTGAACTCAATAAGTCATGTAACTAAGGGCCTAACAAAAATACAACAGCTTCTTGTTTAACAAAAAAATAAAACGTGTATTCTTACAAAGGCAGTGTGCACATTTTTACTTGTGCAACAGAAACTTTTGGAGTTTGTTTTTAAAAGTGTGCTAGCATACAAAACCACTATACATGTCCAAAGAACATCAGGCTATCATAGTTAACAAGGGATCTCGGCAATAGACATTAGGTGCCTCTGCCCAAGGTGAAGCAATGACTAATGTATGAATAGCCACAATGGAATCTGCCCCACCAACACCCTGTCTTTGCAAACTACAACCTCAACCCAACTCTGCCTGCTCCATGCAAGCAGGTTGCATCAAGCTCTGAGAAGGAAATTTGTATCGCGCACCACAGAGTCCTTCCTGTGACTCAGTAACTTCAAAAAAAGGGAGAAGCGCCCACGCTTTTCCATTTGCCTACAAATAGTTGTGAAAGAATGACATGGAGGAAAGACATAAAACATATTTTGTTAAATCAAAACCCTCTAAAACATGATTGAGAAGTCTCCAACAGATGTGCATAGTCACATGCAGCAATTCATGTGTTTAACACACTGATGATGTCTAATAATATCTAATCCATGGAGTAGTCACTATACACCTGAATTCTCTTCAAGAATTAACTTCAGTTTACAAAATGACCATCAGGTGGTTCTGACTATTATACACATCTTACAGCTGGCAGAGCTGATGCCCAGAGATTTTATATAAACTACCCATGGGCACACAACAAGTAAATGTTAGAGCCACAATAAGATGTCACACTGTCTGGCTCCAGTCCACACTCTTAACCACTATGCTGCAACACGGTGTCCATGAGATTCCCCTAAGAACCTGTTCACTTCAAAATTTTCCACCGTCATCCCTCCACCCACCCAAGACAAAATATAAACAGTTTATCTTGCTCTCTATTTGAGTGGTCAATTCCAAAGTCCTGTTTGGATCAGGCATTTTAGATCTTCCAGTTACTTATACAGTAAGTCCCTGACATATGAATGAGTTCCCTTCCAGGAGCACATCCATATGTCCAATGCGTAAGTCTAACAAAGTTAGCCTAGGTAACCAACTAATATAGTAGGCTATACATTACCAGCTATATCACCACTGCTTTTGTGCTTACTTCCAGACATCCTGGGCTTGAAATAAAGATACTGTACTACAATATTCTACCCAGTACTGTAAAGTACATAAAAACACAATGACTTGTAGAGGATGCATGCAAGTGACAATATACGCCAGACATGTGAACTAACCTATGTGACTGGACATGCAAATGCATATTCACATCTTTGAAAGTTCGCAACTTGAAGGTTCACATGTAAAAGACTTACTGTACCTAAAAGTACACCATCATCAGCTTCATTGTAGAACATCTTCTCTTACATTAGTCAGACATCCCAATAAACATTCCTCTCCAGAGTGTCTTACCTTCAGTAAACACCTGACTGACCAAATCTCTGTCCATTCTGGTTTCTGCAAATACTGAGATACTTATGGAGGAAACACAAATTTTAAAGGAGGAACCAAGTAGAATGAAATGGGCAATATAAAAGTTAGCAGCTACATAGGGCCACCACCAAATTCAGAGGGTCTGATTAAAGGCTCAATATCTCTGCAATGTTTCCATTCTAAACAATAAAGACTATATAGATGTATAATTTCCAGCCTACCACAATGATCAAAAGAAAAAGAAAATAAACACCTAGAACTAAAAAAAAAAGAAATAAAGAAAAGACAGTCCTCGGGGTGAGCTGAGTATCCCACCAACACAGAATCTTTTCAGTCATCTTTGGGTGGGATGTCCTTGCTATCAGAGGGGCACAGCTTCTGAAGAGGTGTTGGCTTTTTTTTTTTTAAACAAATAGTGATCTCACTTGATAACTTTTTAATGGCTAGGTAAAAATATGGCACGTTTTGGTTTGGGGTTTTTTGTTTTTGCCTCTATAAAGAAAAACTCTCAGGAAAAGAATTCCAAACTGGAGAGAACTACAAAAGCCTACAGAACTCTGTATTCTATTAGTTTCCACCTGCTAAAAAGCTCCCCAATGTCAAGCACAGAGCAAAACATGACTTGGGGGGTTTCCTGCAAAAAATGATAAAAACATGTTATAAGTACCATCAGATAGTTACTTCAATTTGCAGGTTGGAGAATCAGACTGGATATGGTCTGAACTGAGGTGAGCATCCATATTCACCATAAACTTTTATTTTCCATAGGAATAAAGTCAAACACATGAAATTCTTCCCAATCTTCCCCTTCCCCCATACCTCTCTGCCACTACTCTAGACAAACGACATATTAGCTGATAATCCTAAAATCACGTGCCTATACAGATGTACGTACACCAGGAGTAGTTAAATTGTACAAGAATAGCTAGCAATTCACATCATTCTAAAAACAAACAAAAAAATAGAGAACACTTTTTCCAAAGCAAATACATAAATCATGACTTGGTATTATGATTTGAGGTGCCGGCCACAAAGTTCATGTATTGGAAATCTAATCCCCAGTACAACGGTGCTTACAGGTGGGGACTTTTAAGAAGTGATTAGAGGGACCTGCCCTCATGAATGAAGTAATATCATTACCTCAGGAGGGAGTTTGGCCCTCTTTTGTGCTCTCTTGTCATGATACTTTCTACCATTTTATAATGCAGCAAGGAGAGCAGCAGCCCCCAAGCCAATACATAAGCCAATACATTTCTATATTTTATCAACTACTCAGTCTCAGCTATTCTGTGATAGCAGCACAGATTTAATTAGAAAATCCTGCGTTTTTATGAACACTGTTTTCTCCTAGAAAGTCTAAATATAAGGAGAATGCAACTGGCCTATCTTAAAGCATGCTCTTCCTATGTATACATGATCTTAAGGGAATTTAAAATTCACAAAGAAAAAACAGCATCTGGTCAACCCAATGCTTAAACACATTTCAAAATAACCACTCTGGGCCTGATTTCTCATCTTCAGAGATGGCATACTCCATAACCTATTAGGAAAGTCCTGTATGTGTAAGATGAAGGAAGATTCAGCATTGCCATTTCAATAGTACACTAACCAAGCTCCAAGAATTCAGGTTCCAAGTCAACCAAACTGCTTTAGAAGGCAGGCTCCATAATAAACCCACTGAAATGCCAAGGAAGGATCAAAACAAATTAAGTCTTCAAGACCTGAAACTATTAAAAGTTATTATTTATTCTATGACTGCTATGTACCCTGCTACCAAGTAAGAAATGCATGGCCTAATGATGTTACCACCTGCTCAAAGGCGACAAAAATCCTCCTCCTATAATCAAGACCACCTGTGAGACAAGCCTCACAATCTACCCTCATCGATCAAATCTTAATCCGCATATAACCCTGATTTCACTAGTAAGTGTGACCATAAGCAAGTTAATATGCAGCAGTGAATCCTTAATTCTGTAAGTCAAGATATTTAACACATTAATAATTAAAAAGGGTTTGCAATGGTTCAATTTTCCTTAAATTAACTCTGAAAAGGGTTTCTCTTTTCCACTGCCTTAAAGTTTAGAATTCAAGTTAAATGACGGCTTTGCACTCAGGTGCTACCCAACACATGCAAAGAGGAAGCACTGTCACCTGAGAGAGGCACTGCAAGTCAGAGACCACGAGATTCTCCCCCAAAAGAATAAGGCCTACTGTCATTTGTCATCGTGACTTTATGGTGACTATGGTGACCAGATCTCAGTCAGAACTAAGGGTGATGGGCAGCCACACAGCTGCAGGAGTGGGTGCCTAGACTCAAAGAACTCTGTTCCTCAAACAGAGAAGGAAGACTGATGCCAGATGCATGAATACCTGCCCATGTTGGAGGCGTGAATAATACTATCACACATTCCTATATATTTACTGACATGGTTTTTCATACATCCTTGAAATTCCCCTCTTGTGATGACTCGCTTTTTAAAGTTAGAGCAGGGGGCATGCTTGCTATGGAGTATCTGTAATATAATAGGTTCATCATTGAGACACTCTCTCAGAAAGAATACACTGGCAGGGTCATCTTATACATAAGACAAAGTGCTGAAAATGAAAAGAAAATGAGGATGGACGTTAGTACAGATTCAGTGCGTGGTAGACTACTTAAATGAAGACATCTTATGATGGAGAAACTAAACTGAGCTATGCATCTGAAATTCCTGATCCAAAAACCATCCTGTTAAGAATTTTAAACATCTACCATGGCTAATCTTGTCCTTCTCTCTTAATTTTCCACTAGAGTCAGTTCTTCTTCAGATACACATGTAGACTGTTTCTAAAAAGTAACTATGATTCTCCAGAATTACTAAACAAAGATGACTAGACAAGGGGGATTTTTTTTCTTTTCCCTCAACCTCTCAAATTAACAGATTCTAAGAAAAAGTGACAAAGCTAGTCATCCAGGAAAACATCAAATAAGAGAACGAAAAGAGAGAAAAAGAGGAAATAAATTATAAGATATGAGACAGGACAAATACGAGTAAAGGGTTTTAAAAACACCAAATTAAATGCATTATTATATAATGTCACTGCCACAGTTTGACCATGAAACCACAAACTACCACAGCCAACTTCCTTATCAAACTACCTTAAGCTTATTTAGGAAAGTCATACAAAAATAAATGCTATTATAAGTTTTAAGAACCAATTCCACAGCTACTAACTTGGAACTTGGTTAAACAGTGACAGATTAAAAATACATACAGCATAATTTCAGCTTTCCTGACAAGGAAAAAAATGCTTCAGAAACACCACAATTTAATTCTTTAAATTTTTAGAAACTTTTCTCTTCAGAAGTGGTAAAACACCACCCAATATATACAACTCCTCAAGATCACTGCTGATGAAAATCAATTAAAATAAACAGTTAAGACAGGCATTACAAGGCGGCGACTTTTTGGCTAAGTCTTCCAGCAAGAGTGTTTTTTGTGCAGTTCACAGTACTTGTTTACTCATTACTGCACAATACTTAGAAGTCAGGAGGACATTAGATTAAGGAAAATATTTTTAAAAATTAAAAAGCACCCCGAATTCTGGCTCCTCTATGAAAACCAAGAGATTGAGTGAGTGGGCCCACGTTTGTTCCCCTGTGGCAAAAACTGGCACCTGAGTTTTGCAGACCCTGATTTAAGGTACCAATATTTTCAGCCTTGGGTACTAACCTTTTCCTCGACGGCCCTTCTTCAAAATCTGAAGAACTAACATCGTTGCTAGTGGAGGACACTTGGGATGCATCGTCCTTCTCATTCTCTGACTGTTCTGATGCTGGTCCTAATCCCTTAGACTGGTCATTACCAAGGAGCCCTACAGGTGAGAAAAGGGGACAAACACTTAAATACATCACATCAGGAAGCAGCACTTTACCACAGTTAACCCTACGCAACGGCTGATGAAGACAGACAAGAATGTGGACAGAAGAGAACTTTAAGTACATATCCTTTTTGAATGGGTGGAGAAAAGTTAAACCTCATCCTATTTCAGACTCTTCAAGAAAGTGAAATGCCTGACAAGGAAACCATTTTAACAGTAGGAAATGCAAGCAGAAATTTGAAGTTGTAATGCTATAGGATTCATTTTAAAATACATAAACATCTTTTATGGCTGGGGATGGAAGGGAAGAAATAAGTATCAATTATCATCAAATCAAACTAGTTAATCTTAAAGTGCTAAATATTTACTCTAGAGACTCTGCAGTTCTTTTTTTTGGAGTAGCCAGCAGGAATAAGCACCTGCCACACAAGAAAATGCCTCATTACTTTGTAGACACATCCTAGATATGAACTGGAAATCCTATTAGAATGCTTTTCTTCAGAGTCATCCATTAGGTTAGATTATAACCAGATTTGCCTTTGATGGTCTCAAAGGATAAGGATTCTCTATGATTGCAGATCATAACTGAGAGAATCTTGACGCCCCTGGAGGTGCTTTTAGTAACCAAATCATGGAAAGGTTCTAGGAAAAAGGCTGTTGGCTAGAAGCTATCCACTAAATGACATGGACGTTTTTTAACAAGCAGTAAGGCCACACTAAGGAGAAACAGCTGAATAAGAGCCTCACCTTCTAGAGCTCAAACTCTCCTGTGCCAACATAGGTTCTACTAATAAGAAGCTTCCACTGACACAAGTGTCCATAGCAACTGGAGCCCCCTGGGCAAACCCTAGTCACCAGCTTCATAGGCAACCAGAGCTGGGCAGTGGCAGCAATGCTAACCTAGCATCAACAGTTACACAGTGTTTGACCTTGAATCAAAAAGTACAGGGCGGTCCCTTGGGTTTTGCTCTTCTAGCCCTTTCACCAATTTTGTGAACGCTTCATTTCCCTGTATCAAATCTCTTTTTGATTGAAGTGTTTCAAAAAGTGGCTCCTGTTAGTTGCAAAAAATATTATATAAGGTATTCTATATATTTGTTAAGAATTTTCTGAATGAATACAGTATACTGCAACAAATCCCTGGGACCTGGGCTGTTTAAGTAAGCATCTCCCCAGTTATCTATTTTGGTATCATTTCAGAGTATGAGTATGAGTAATAATATCAGGTTGGAAATCTAATACAATATAGTAAATAAATCTCATGGCTAGTCATTTAGATCACTTATCTGCATTAAAGCCACTTAAGGCAGCTTTAAGAGTCATGACTGCAATATCAAGATGAACACATATACAACTTCCCAAAGAAAAAGGAAATGTGGGAACTTTGCACTGTGAGGCACAAAAGAGATGTAACTGTATGGAAGTCTAAGAATCCAAGGATAAAAGTGTGGCCAACATTTCAGAGAGATCAGAGTCATGTCATCCATTACAGTAGCCACCGGGCACACATAACTACTGATGAGCACTTGGAACATGGCTACTGTAGATTTTAAAAAATGAATTTTTAGTCTTATCTAACATTGATTAAGTTAAAGACTAAATGTAATGTTATTAATAAGTTAATCCTAATGAATTAAAATTAAAAATTAGCTGGGTATGGTGGCACACGCCTACAGTCCAGCAACTTGGGAGGCTAAGTCAGAAGGATCTCCCGCGCCAGGAGGTCCAAAGTTGCACTGATCTGTGATCAGGCCACTGCAATTCAGCCTAGGCAACAGAGTGAGACCCTGACTCAAAAGGAAAAAAAATTAATTTCACCTACTTCTTCCAGTTTGAGTGTGACTCTAGAAAACTAAAATTACACCTGTAGTCAAAATAATATCTTTATTGATCGGCACTAAATTAGAGCACTTTAATAATGCCACCATGGGGGCTGGGAGGTGTCCCTTCCCCAATCAGTAGGATAATACCGACAATATTTAATCAAGATTAGAAATTGACCAAGGGACATAATATGTATCTTATTTGTATAAGGAGTAAAAGATAAAATGCCACACGTAGAAAGGATGAAATACTGAAAATAAAAATCTTGATTACAGAACCAGACTTAAAATTTAAAGAAACCAAAAAAAGATATACATAGTAAATATGTGCATGTTTGGTTGGGTTCTACTTGCTAAATAAAGCAGGGAAGGTAAAGGAAAAAAGGGAGGGATTCTGACTTCATCCATTCATTTACTGAACACCTACTGTACACCAGGGCACAGGGGATAGTGGCTTAATCAGAAGCTAAATTCTGAGAGGCCACAGACAAACACAGATCAGCTGTATATATCGCTCAGTGGTATGCACAGAAAAGAAACACTGCACATGTAGGGCAAGGAAAAGGGGGAGGGCAGTGAATATGAATCCCTGGAGCCAGTTAGCAAGACTGCAATACCCAAACAAGAATAGGAAAGCTGGAATTTGCAGAATGTCTAAAAACAAAAACAGGTGGTGAGGACGGAAGAAAACGACAAGGAGAAGAGGAGGTTGCTCGGAAGCTAAATTTGGATCAATGAGGAAGTAAGCAAGGATAAAGGCTGCCAGGTAATGACTAGGAAGAAATACCCCTCTATCCTTTGGTACATAACCAGAGCTTAAGAGTTTGCTGAATGAGTAAGCAGTGAATGTGTGAATAAATGGCTGAACAAATGATTTAGCAGTAGATTAATGTGGGAAAGACAAGTTTTTTGATGACAGCTTTGTCCTTGTAAATCCAACAACAACAACAACAACAAAATCTCAGTGGATTGTAAAGAGAGGTGGTTCTCAAACTTGACCATGCATCAGTCATCTGAGTCTCGCCCTCCATGTGTACCCTATTCTAACACATTCCCAGGTAATGCTATTGCTGCTTTGGCTGGTCTGGGGACCACATTTTGAGAACCACTATTACAGAGGAAGGCAGGGCCCCTGGCATTAAGAGAAGACCAGTTGCCCTAAGGCACTACAAAGCTGCAGGCAAGTATGAATTAGATCCCAGGGAACTGATTATGATTGTACAGTCTATCACAACAGAACTCAGTGAGACATCCACACCCAAAGTTGAGGCTGGACATTCAGCCACCTTTTATCAATAATTTTGTAAAGAGAAAGAAGCTTACTTACAAAATTTGTCACACAAAGTTATAAGTCAGCTAGTATGACAAACAGACTCAACAAAAGAACTGGCTGGGGGAAATGTGGCTTATAATACTCCCTTCCCTCCTGTCAACTGCCTAAGTACAAATTCAGGGAAACTACATGAAGAGATTTTACATGAAAAATACCTGAGAATATTAATTGACTTTATTTGAGCTCAGCGTAAGGCAAAACAGATGAGACTACTCTGATAACAAGGCACTCTGAGCTACGTCAACAGGAATAAAAAGTAGTGACCCCACTGTCCCAAACCCTCCAAACTAGTATTTTCAGCGAACTCCAAACATTCCCCCATTCCAAGGATTAACAATGAGTACCTCAACTAGAAGAGACATGGGTTGTCTGAATCAGATTTACTTTCCAGAGTCAGAAAATGGGACCCATACATAGGAAATTAATTGCCTATTTTACAAATTAAACGACCATGGCTTTCCATAGCCTTGGTGAGGGCAAAGGACTGACTCTGTTCTGCACATGCTAAAGTTTTTCAATTACAGTATTTCCATTCTGTGTATTTTGGCCCAGAAAATAAAATTACATCTATTTTTGACTTGTCTACATGGTTGGATACATTTAGGTTTTTTCTCTAACCCACTCCCTACATCTCCACTTTACTGGCTACCCTACCCCATTTCATTTTGAATGTTTTAATCCAAATTATACAGCCTGCCCAATCCAGGAGAGCCAGGTCAGCAAGACGGAATATGATGCCACAGGGCAGAAGAGCCATTATTAGAACATTAGCCAAGCTAATGTGCTGCCTTTTCTTTCCCCTGTCTAACAAAGCCCTGCCACCAATTGTTAAAATTATTATTTTTAGTCAATGAGGAATAATGAAATGGCATCCCCTCCTTCATACACTCAAACCGTTTTTATTTTTCCAAACCCCTCCCCCAACCCCCACCAACACAAACCTTTGTTGGGGAGAGGAGGTTAAACAGAGGAAATTGAATGAATGGCCCAAAGATTCAGTCTCTGCCATTAGCATTTGTTCTCCTCTATTAATATTCAGTAGGTTGAACTCAAATTAAGCCATGTCTATTGTCTTTCACAAAAGCAATAAATATGAGCTGAAAATTCCAAATCAACTGCAGTAAAGGCGGCTTGGGGACTGTGCCGGCAACCTCGCCAGTCACCGTCAGCTGACGGGAGCAGTGTGTCTGGGATCCAAGACTACTCAGCCACAAGGCAGTGCCCATTCGCACAGAGAACTCCAAAGAAATCGAATACAACAAAACCCTGCCATCAGCAGGTCTGCGCATTCAGGAGCTTTTCGCCCCATCTCCCAAATCAGCAAGAAATGAAAAGGCTTCCAAGGCCACGCAAGGCAACACAAAACTGGCTTCTTTGAGTCTGGAACAGCAGCAGCAAAGGGGAATGGGAATTCCTGTTGTTCTTCGAGATTGGAGATATTGTGCATATGACCACCTCCTTCTTGCCTTAACATGAAGGGGGCTGGGAAAACTGAAACACGAATTAGGCCAAACATTCCTTTAGCTGAAGAACTACTTCTGAGCAGTTGATGAGAACTAGATTTCAGAACACAAACATATAGATAGAATTCTTTTCTAACATCTGAAAAAATGGACTAGAGCACATCGTCCTTATAAATTTATGATGTTTCATACACAAAGAAGTTTCACCAGTCCTCTCTCATTAGCTACACACACACGCGCGCGCAACTGAGTACAAAACCACAAGAAAATCCAACGCCTCTATTCCACAAAAGCAATGGCAAAATAAGGGTTAAAAGGGAAGGAAGAACAAGGAGGGCTTTCAGGCTGTTCCAGGGCTTCTAAAACATCTGGAGC